ATGACTGAACGTTGAAAAAATAGAAAGTTATTTGAGGATGAATTCAGGTGAAGAAAATCCAATTATGTTGCAAATCTCAAGGAATACTATGTTTTCCAAATCCCTTCCAAAATTTCACATCATGTATGCAGAGTTTCCTATATTTAAATGAGTCCATTGTTTGGCTTTTAGAATTCTACTTGCATTCTAATGACAAAGTGGCTGAGTATTTGTTGATTTGGTCACTATCATTCAATGAAATGCTTGCTGCTCTCTGGCGTCATTCCTGTCACCTATTCTGGGCATTTGCTGCTTCCACTAAAGTCTCAGCTGCGGCATTTCCCTATACTGACTAGGAAGCTGAGCTACATAACATGGAGGCACAAAAACAGAGATAGACCCATCAATAACCAAGTACCAAAATGGTAACAGAGCAGGGCACAAAATGGCCCCTTGAAATTGCCCACCATATCTGTGAATAGATGAATTGGGGAAAACATTTTGTGCAATTCATTTAGGAAAAAAAGAAACTTACCAACAGTTTTGGGGTTGTGGTTCAGCATTAGCAGTGGCCAGCTTCTTTCATAACCTGTAAGAGCTTTGTTGTTGTTGCCAGTACAAGAAGTTAGTGATGGCAGCCACATCTTTTCTAACTGAATTCTCTACAGTTTTACCCAGTTAAATACCTGGATAACCAGGTATTGATTCTGTGTACAGCTTTCTGATGCCCAAACTCCTCCTTTTTTATCATTGGCTACTTGAATGGTTGATTCTACTGCCTTCCTCTGGGCAGCAGCAGCTGCTGCTGCTTCATTTGCATCTGTATTGCTCAATAGCCAATGCTCTCTGGGTGGTGTACAATTGATAAAATACAAAATATAAATAACAGTGAAAACATGATTTAAAAAAAACCCCTGAATTTTAACACCTTGAACAGCTAAGACAGGTTCATGCAGCTTGGCCTCCTAAAACAGCTGAAAGTCCACCCCTTTCAGTGCTATTTAAAATTGTTAATACCTTGACATAGTCTTATCCTGGCACTGAAAGAATAATAAAGTTGGTGCCAGGCCAGCCTTGCGGCATGAGAGAAGGGTGGAGAGATTGTCCCAAAATTTGGGGATACTACAGAGAAGCCCCTCCTTTTAGTTGCCACTGATGAAAGCTCCCCTGGAGGTGGCAGTCAGAGGAAGCACCCAGATTTTGTACATAGTGCCTGGGTAGACTGCAGGTTGGAAGAAATATTCTATGAAGTATTGTGACCCCAAGCCATGCAGGACTTTAAAGGTTAAGCCAGCACCTTGAATCGTGCTTTCATGTACACAGATACCCAGTGCATGTGGGCCTGAACTGGTGCCATGCACTGGGCTTTCTGATTCCAGTTATCAGTCTGGCTGCCAGACAAATGCACAAGATGCAGTTTCTGAACAGGCTTCAAGGGAAGTATGAAGAGTGCATTGCAGTGGCCTAGCTTAGAAATTACCAGAGTGCAGATAATTGAAGCCGAGCTTTTCCTGTCCAGATTGGGGCATAGCTGGGTCACCAGCTGAGACTGGTACAAGAAACTCCATGCCACTGAGGGTACCTGAGCTTGAAGCAACAAAAATGGCTCAAGGAGCTTCTCCAAGCCACAAACCTGTTCCTTCAAGGAAAATGCAACCCCATCCAGAACAGTTTGAGTACCCTCCATCTGGTCAGAGAAACCATCTGCCAGTGCTATCTCAGTCTTTTCTGGAGTCTTTTCTTCAGCTTTCTCCTAGTCCTCTTTATAACATCACAGGAAATCTTCCTGCACTGAAGACCACAAACTAATTCTGATCCCAAATTGTCAACTTTCGTATCTTACCTGGCATTTTCCTAACTGCTCTTTTCCACTTAGCTAGAATTTCCGTACTGATATTCACAACACAGAGCTGCCTCTGTAAGATATGACACAGCTCCAAGCTGTGCTTCTGGACACCAAAATGGAAGATTCCCATACATACAACAAGTTGAAATACCTAGTTTCTTAAGGAATCTTTTATGTTTATAAATGGCAAACTATCAGCTGCAGTCCTTGATTGAGGTGATGCCTTGTCTTGCTTCTTCATGAAATGGAACACCATTCTCCAATCTGATAACCTCCAAATCTGTTAGACTGGTAAGGGGATTATGGGAGCTGTAAACTAACAAATACTCATAGGTAACTGGGGGATTATGGGAATTGCAATTCAACACATCTGCAGGGCAGCAAATTGAGAAGGCATTCTATTGGCCATAGAGCAACCAGTAAGCCCCCTTAGAAAATTCCAGGACTTGACTGGGTGTATATATAGGAAAACAGGTATCCTGATCCAGAGTTGTTTAGGGCTTCGTATGTCAACAAAAGGCCTTGAACTTGGCCCAGTAGCCAACAGGCAACCATCACAGTTATTTTAACACACAGGTATAAGCATAACCCCACATAGGCATATTATGAAAAACAAATAGCATGAGAAGGAACAGAAGGGGAATGATAGCCCAAAGGAAGGATTCTGTGTATAGAAACATAGCATGCCAAAAAAAAAGGCCTTTTGGGATATCTTTTTGAGTAGCATGCCTTGAGGCTCACTGCATCAAAGATTCATTCTGCCTTTTTATTATTCCTTTAAAATGAAACCACTTTGATATTCCCTTTTTCCTTTTATTTCGTATTTTTATTTGTGTAGGTGATGTTGTTATTACAGATCTATAGAAAATTGTCATCATGAGGCTCAGCAGGTTGTAAATAAATGACTGCGGTGCTTTAAAGATATGCAACAATAATGGTCTTGCTTTGGAAACAAATCTGGCCATTCTGCTACTGCAGCTTTGTCTTTTTGCCTTCTCTGTGATTACTTGGAGGTTAGAAAGAAAGGAAAGATGTCATTTGATCTGGGTTTCTTTTTCTTATGAAAAACTAATTAAACTACAGTGCACTTTTACTGCCTGAAAACTAACAATTGCATTAGACATTTTCCAGTGTATACTCCACTCAGGAGAGAAGTCCCAATACTTTATGTTTATGACCACTGTAGAAATACTGCACATATTCTGTGATGGACATCTTATGTAATTACTTTATCAGAAGAAACATTCATTCAATCTTCTGCTTACTGATTCAGAAGGAACGCAGAGTGCTCTGGAGTCAGTACCCTGAGATTTTTCTGAAAGGCTGTCCTTCACACTACTTCATGGTGTGATGCTTTATCAATTAACAATGCAGTTTTTAAGTGCTGAAGAAGGCAGATGCTTCTGCTTAGAAGATGTTTGCAGTTCTATGGCGAAGAAAATCATTTAAAGACATAGTCAAAGTTCATAAAATTTATTGCTACTAAAAATGCAATCACATCTTTCACTGTATAAATGAGAATTTCTGCTTGGTCCCTATAAAAGTAGATTTTGTAAGAGGAGGGAGGAATCAGAATGCACTACCTCTTGAACTCATCAGCATTCTCCAAATCCCACCTGGAAACTCATTTTGAATATAGGATGTATCCATTGAGAACTTTTTTTCACATGAAAATCCATTCATATTTTCCCAAATGTATGCATTGTTTGTGTAGCTCTTTGACAAGTACATATTCTTCTCTCATTAGAGCATTTTTGGGGTGAATTTTTCAAATGCATGCATGCTGTTGAACAATTTCTAAAATTTTGATCTGCAATATCATTGCAAACCCAGGAACACATGGCCTTCAACTGCAGATTGAGTCTGAATCAGTGTTTGCTCTGGAATGTGCTAAAACCCAGTACATTCTGATAAATTCTACTTGCAGTATGTGTATTCATATTAGATCAAATGCATATTGTTTCAGAATTCCATATTCTAGCCAATGCAGCCTAACACCACTTCCCCCAAAATAGCCAACACTTCAGGAACCTGGATAACAAACACTGGAGCGCACTGTGCTGTACTCAGCATTCTCTTGTGCCCGGTCCTCTCCTGCCCTCCCTCAAAGCAAAGCGGGTAAAACAAAACTGGTCTTTCTTGTAAGGACAGCAGAAGCCACGCTTTCTCAGCCACAGTCCTTCCTGCCCCTCAACGTGCCCACTTTTGTCACATGGGCATCATAACAGGCTTTGCTTGCTTTGCCACTGGTGGGTTAATCTTTAAATCTTTAGCAGCATAAGACCTGTCTTCGTTGCTACTCTTTGTTTGACATGCTACTACCTGTTTGCAGCTACACTACATTTCTGGATTTTTCCTGTATGTTGCGATCCCTTTGCCATGAGGGAAGGCAAAAAGAGGATATGGGAGGAAGCTGTCTTCAAATGCTAGCACCATATCCCTAAATGCAATCAAGTAGAGTTTATTTATTATTTATTTATTTAAAACATTTCTATGCCGCCCCATTCGCCGAAGCCTCGGGGCGGCTCACAACATAAATTAAAATATAATGCATTCAAAATATAAAACAAATTAACAATATAATTCTGTAAGGCTTGGGGACATGCCTTGAGAAAGGAAGAGCAAGCAAGCTGGGGATCTGGATCAGGTAATGGCACCAGGTGGCATAGCTAGAATCCAGGTAATGCCCAGCCAACCATGCATTATGGCAGTGCTATTCTAGCGTGTGCTTTGAATGGTTGATTGCCCAAATTCAGAAGTACCACCGTAAGCATCTTGCTAAAGGACTTGAACATACATAGGTTGAGAGTGTGACCATACACTATTCCCTCCGCCACACATTCTTTCCAATGCTGATAACCATCTGCACAGGGCTTAAATATCCCATACAAAAAATATAAGGCTGAAAGTCTAACCGCACGTATAGAAAGCAAGTTTCACAGAGTTTTGTTGGACTTAATTCTTTTTCAGTGCACTTAATTTGAACATGTATCCAGTAATCTTCATTGCTGAATACACTGATACATAAATTATTTGTTTTTTCAAGAAGCACTCTATGTAGCAAGAGAATGTATTTCAGCACTTTTGGAAATATCTTAAAGATTGTATTATGTCAAATAAAAAAGTGACTCAAGTAGGAAAGATGACAGGTGTTCCACTGGCTTTTCTTTTTCAGGACTATAATGATGAAATCCGTCAAGAGCAACTCAGAGAATTATCATATTTAAATGGTTCAGAGGATTCAGCTCGTGGACGAAGCATTCGAGGAAGAGGGATCCGAGTTTCCCCTGCAGCTCCTTCAAGGTCAGTTGATTTGTCTTTACAAGCAATATAAATAACTCTACATGAGCTGCAAACCCAGGTACAAGTTCCCTAGTTTAAATACACTTACAATACATTGATAAATATATAGATAAAGGTTACTTTGAGAGAAGTTCATAAGAGAAAAAGTGGGAGTTTTACTTACATGTTTGGTTTTCACCAAACCTCACCTGATCACTGAAGCTGAAATTGTGTTCTAAATACAAGTATATATGACTTGTTAACAGAGAGAATGAATGATAACCATGACAAAGTTCCAAACCAAAACACAAGTTACCTGTGGCTTAAGTCACAATATCTTCAGTTGCATTTCACTGGAGTAGGGCTCATATTTAAGAAAAGGTAAACATGTCCAACTGAATTCATACAGTCTCAAGCCTACATGATAAAGACTTACTTCTCTCTAAAACTTTTAAATAACTCCTTTGTAAAATGGCCATATTTCTAACATGGCTGACCTGAGCTTGTGTACAAAGTTAGTTCTTCAAAGTTAGAAAGAATTAGCTAACAGTGACTTAATGAGAATAATAAAGCACCATGTTTCAGTCTAGTACAGTTGCCATATTTAGGGCCAATACAACCTCACAAAACTAGAGTTTATTCTAAGTATGATAAATTAATGTAAGAGTCATTTCGTATATCATGCTCCCAAAACCTGGTGATTTCAATGACCATACTGGCTGGAGATATTGAGTGCTATCATCTAACACATCTGGAGGGTGCCCACTGGGAAAGGTGGCCATATATCATAGAAGAACTTGGTTGACCATGCATGCATTTTAATGTGTACTCTCAACAAACTTATCAAGTGGAGAGTGTTTGGTAGCCATTACTTTTATTCTACATTTTGCAGGACCACACATGCATTTCCTTTTCTGTCACCATAAAGAAGTAAAATGCTGATTCCAGATCACCTTGATTTTTCTTTAATCGTAGCATCAGTCTGCTGTTACAACCCTCCATGAGCCTTCATGCATCATTAGCCCTGCACAGACACGTACACAGATGAGGCATTGTGGCTGCCTCTGCCAGCCCTGCCCCTGATGTTCTTGCTTGGAAAATGGCAGGTGCTTACAGGTCTTGGCCCCAATGCTTTTATCAATTCTTTGTATAATCTATGCATACAGTGTTTAGATTGTACAATTTACATGTAAGGATGAGATGCCCAATGTATTAATATCTGGAATACCCAAGCACTAAGTCCAACAAGCATGCTCATGAACTCTCCTACCTGTACATAAGTTGTCCGTAGGAAGTTCTTAAGTTCACCTCTTTATTATTACCATTCTATAGGATATAATCTTTTTAACAAAGCCAGGAATTTTCAATTGAAATTTTGCATACACACTTGACTCATTGCATTACTTCTATATTAGTTAAGAATGAGCTATTGTTTCTCCTAATATTTTTCCTAATATCTCCTTGTTTTAACTTTGTTCCCTCATGCAACCAATTCTTCAACCTCTGAAATATTCCCTCTGCCCCCTAGGTGGTTTGGTTTGGTTTGGTTTGGTTCTGTTCAGTTTGTTTGTTTGTTAGTAGGAATTGTATTCTCTGTCAAGCTTTATTATGCTAGAAGAAAAAAAGAAGTCATGCTATTTGACTTCATGACTTCCTAAACTCCTAAAATTTATTTTTCAACTTCACTATAGCTCAAAATGAGTTCTTACGAAACTGGCTGCTTCTACATGCCTTTCACTGCTATATTTAAACATTTTACAAATATACTTAATCTTCATTAAGTTTTTAAAAAGTATTCCAATCCTGTTTGCTATAGTGTGTTTTTCATTTGTTGATTAATACAGAGGGAATCATTTAAGTAAACACTACAATAACAATGTTTCTAATGAATTTTCGTATTCATATTGTAGAAAGACATGTATCTTTACAAATAGCAATACATATTGAACCTTTCACTTTCTTTGTGCTATTTCTGTAAAGTTACAAAATTGGAAACACAATTTAACTAATAATTTTCCGAGATTGACTGACCTACCCGAGCAAGTAATAGAACCAAATCAATATTGGCTTATTCTTTATGAAACATTGTTGGGTTGGGGTTAAATCAATATGAGGGGAAATTAAAAAAGAAGTAAACTACCCAGAAATGTCCATATTTTCAGTCAGACAAAGGTGACATTTACCTCTAAAACCATTACAAAAGTGTTAGAAATATTATTTTAGTAATGAAGAGTTGCTTACAAATGGGATGTTTACTACATTTATATCCTAAGAGCTCTTCTACACAAGGCTGTCAATCTATTGTATTTACTTCTGCTTTTGTCACAGAACTGAGATCCAAGCACTACACAAAGAACATTTTGCCATATAACCTCCTGATAGCACTGGTAATTGCGGAATAGTGCAATTACATAGATGGGAAAATGTGTTTCCTTTAACTTTCACAAATTATACTTCATTTTTCCTGCTCTTAACAATGAGTGGAAGGTGCTGTTTGTAAAAAAGCAAAACTGGGAGGTCATAATATTGTCTAAGCAACCTGTAAATAAGTGTGAGTAGAGAATGCCAACAGTGCCATAAATATCTCATGTACAAAAATTCTAAGTCTTCTTTCTAAAAACTCAGGATTATTTGTGTGTGTGTGTGTTTACCTTCCCAATACTATCCTCGCAACTCTGTGAGGGAGATCATACTGAGTGACAGTGACTGGGCAAAGGCCATTCAATAATATTCATGAGTGACAAGGAGTTTGAAAATGGGCCTTCACCACTGATTTGGTACAATTCAGATGAGTATGTAGTCATACTATATGGCTGCATGTCCCATATATATGGTTGATTTCTCCCTTCTCTGGTATTGGCATGAGCTATTCATTCTGCAATTACTTTCTGCAAGGCATCTTTCCCTTACTGTCTTCTCTTGGCACACTACGATATTTTAATTATGGATTTTCTTTTTGGAAAATGTCTCCCCATCTTTCAAGTCCCACAAGGTGGGTTCCAAGTTAAGCACAAAAGTTACAATAAAAAGAATGGGATAAAACAAATAGTTCAGTCAAATTCTTAAAGCAGCAGCAGCAGAGGGACATGAAACAACCATTTAACAGAAAGCGGGAACAGTTTGAAGGCACAGTGAAATAAGCATGTATTTGCCACATTCATAATACTCAAGGGAAAAACAACTAATCAAATCCCTTTTGGAAGGAAGTTCCACCATTAGGGTGCTATTACAAGACGTCTCTCTCGTCTCTGCACCAAAGTCACCTCTGAAGATTGCAGAAACAATGCAGAGCCTTAGAAATTACACACAATGTACAATCCAGTTTGTTCCAGATGATGTATTAATAATACTTCAACTAGCCTAGTTCCAAGTAGGATTTGATGGATGATAATCAGTACTTTGAATTGTGCCTAGAAACAAATCAGAAGCCAGAGCTACTGAATATCATGGTATATGATATGTTCTGAGAAGGAAACTTCAAAACCCATGCTGGCTTCTGAAGTTCCAAACAACACTGTTCATGCCAGCCCCACAGTGAGCGTTTTGCACTATTCCTGTCTGGATGTGGTCAGAGCATGAGTGACAATGGCCAGATCTACATGATCTAGTAAAAGATGCAGCTGGTACAGAAGCTGAAGCTGAGCAAAATCATCTACGTATAAATTATGTAGATTGATCTATACAGGCATAGTGGATAGATGGTCTGTCTTGGAGCAAGTCTGTAATCTACCAGGCTTCCTTCCATATATCATGTCTTTAGCCCACCCCAAAATTTGCATAAATTATAGCCTAGCTGAGCAACCATTGTGCCATGAAACCCTTCAACTATCTGCCAGCTGAGGAAACAAGAATGTTAAACATACAAGTTTAATGATTATATGAATGTTTGAAAGAGAGAGATCAGTTCTATAAACAATTGCATATCTCAGCTGATTAGAGCTTGGTGTCACAAGCAGCCAGAAGTCGTCTTATTAAAGAATTTCACAACATTATGAAACATGAAACTGATTTCTCTGATTTTTCTTAGGGGACGTGGGAGTGCGATTCCTCCTCCACCTCCTGGACGAGGAGCTCAAGCACCAAGAGGAACCCCAGTGACACGTGGAGTACTCCCAGCCCCTCCTGTAGCCAGGGGTGTTCCAACCCCACGAGCAAGAGGAGTTCCAGCTGTACCGGGTTACAGGCCACCCCCTCCCCCAGCACATGAACCCTACGAAGAATATGTAAGTACCTGATTGTCAATAACAGAAAGAAAGAATACATCTTTAATGTCTTCACAAGTGCTGATTTACAGATAACATTACTAATATTCTGAGGGCACTATCTGTACTGCAGACAAATTCATGGGATAAGTGTTGAGTTAGCTTTTGCACTATCTTAATCACTGGTGGCTGTTGTGTGGCGAGTCATCCAGTGTCAATGCCATTGTACAGGAGAAGTCACAGCACATGATGTTTTGCTTTTTTGATGACCCTTTTGGGCGATTCTGAGATTATCAGATTAACCAATTTAAGTCAAGAAAATTGGTATTTGAACGAATGGGACTAATAAATATTTCTTATTAAATGTTCACCCATTTATTTATTATTAATTATCTCAGTTTTCTTTATTTGTCTATGACAACTTCTAAGGTTTCAACATGGATGACTTGTAATAAGTAAAGCTTATGTGGTTTTGTTTGTATCATATCTGCTTAATTTAATGATGTCCAAAAGGACAGATTTCTTAATAATTCATTTCTTCCAACAGCACACTTAGAAAGAACAGAACAGTTCTTTGATATTGTTAATCTAACATCATCAGCGATCTGCCATTCTCTTGGTTCCATCTGACATAAAACATGAATATCTTTCAAGATTTATTGCAGAATATACATTTTTTGATTGGATGGGGTTTATTCTTAGAAATTCAATGCCAATTTTTAAAGACAGACATTGAAAATATTACTAAGTTTTTAATTAATACGTGAGTACCTTAATGGGAGAAGGACCACAATTTAAACAGGAAGAAAAGAAGAACAAAGAAGGAGCTAATGTGTGTTGGCCATGTGGGGTTTTTCACTTAAAGAGAGCAAATCACAGAGATGGCTTTTGCCTTGAACTTCTTGTAGCTTAATGTGATGGGCAATAGTCTGGAGTGGCTGTTCTAACTCAGCACTTGAAATATAAGTCAAAGTCAATTGACATGGAGAGATCTGAAACCAGTTTTGTCCAGTGAGGCAGAGTTATATGAATTTTCTGGGGAGAAGCAAGGTGTTTTAAACTGAAGGTGCTGATGTGTTTTGAGGCTTGCCACTTAAAGCAAAGGATGTGGTGAGCCACATTTTAATTCATCTTTTTAAACCCACATTTTAAGACAGACTGACTTGAGCTCCTGGCCATGACCTTTATGGAGAACTAAATTTACTTGTGAAAGTCCTATTTATGTGTCCTATTAAGAAATGGAGAAACACAGTTGAGATTTTGATGGGTTACTCATTTGACATCACATCAACACTAAGTGCAGTATGTCACCCAGAGACTCAACTTGGAGTATGGGCGGCAGACAAACGCATTAATAAATACATACATACATACATACATACATACATACATACATACATGTTGGAAGTAGAGGTGGAAAGCATTCCTGGCTTTATTTAGTAGTATGATTTAAGATTTGCTTGTTTACCACTTAGCTTTTCTTTATCTGTTTGAAGAAATTCATGTTAAAGCCACTGTGGGCATGGTAGCGCCCAAACTGACTTCCCTGAAACCTGAGTGACTTATTTTCCATAATGGAGCATCTCTGCATACATGTGCAGGGCTGTTCTATGCATCACTTTTTAGAAATAGGAGTGGGAATGTAACTAGTCTGTGTTTTCTGATGCAAACATATGTATCAAAAAGGAAGACTTGACTGACTGCATCACCATGATAAAGTTGGCTCTGTCTCTGAGTAAAATGTGTGCAATGGCCTTTACTGGGGTTGAATGATGGCTACAGAGACATACCTAATTATACCCTTATCAAAGTTGAGCCTTTCTCATTCATAACCTTCATTCATTTCTCTTGAGCTGATGAGGTATTTCTCAAGATGGAACCTGATATAGATGCTGGATTCATCTATGTTTCAAAAAGGAGTAGTAAGGCTACTTTTTGTAGAGAGTGTTTTATTTCATAAAAGAGTCCTGCTTATAATAACCTTCTCATCCTGTAAGTATGTGTTATAGGCTATTTCTCAAACAACTCTGCCTTTGTTTCTCTGCATGAGGAAACACAGTTATTCATCAGAGTTTTGCTGATGGAATTGGCAGTATTGAATAAATGCGGTCTGTTTCCTAAGATTGTGTTCCATCTTTGGTCTACTTAGAGTAGACCCATTGAAGTGACTGGGGCTTCAGTTAGTTCAACACTCAATATAAGCACTAATTCTGATGTGGGCTGCTATTGTGCCAGTCCTATGGGAAACATCTATCTATCAGCACCACTATTGCGGTTGAATTAGTCACGGAAAGTGTGAAAATGTATCGCAGAAAGGTGGCTCCAAGCAACTGTAAGGGTACCCTAATTTTATGATCATTGTAGTTAAAATGGTGAAGTGTGTTAAGGATTTCTGCAATACTCTTCTTCTGGTCAGTGTTAGCATAAAAAAGACTCGAGTTAGAAGTTCCTTGTCTTGATGTGCTTAGAAAGAGAGAGGCAGGGAGAGACAGGCCCCCAACATTTTTCTTCCTGAAAGGAATACAAAAGGATCACATGGTTGTCCTTATTAGTTCATGTACATCATTCTTCTGGCCAAGCAATGAATAGGCTCTTTTCACTACACAAGAAAATGAACACTTTTGTTCATTCTATGCTGTAATTTGTAGGTTACCTTTAGCTGTACATGCATGAATATACAAGGTTTCTTGATCTAGATGTGCAATAGCCAAAGTACAGACCTACATCCTGGTAAAATAAATCTCACATTCAAAGTATTTAATTGGAAATGTTCCTTCTCTTCAATACCCCCACCACAAATCTAAAGAGAGAGACATAAATAGCTGTGAGTCTGTGTCCCATAACAACATCTATGCATGAGTCGTACAGTAAATTATAATTTTGGAAGGAACTGTAAAACAGAGAGAGAGAGAGAGCACAAAATAAAGAGAAAGAAAATGAAGTATACCACTTTTAAAGCCATACCATTTCTTTTTCTGAACTGCTCCCCCCCCCTTTTTTAAAGTGCTGTTCAAATGATTGAAAATGAAAGCTAATGTCACATTCAACTGTTTATGCTCCATTGACTATTTACATTTTTCAATAGTTTTTAGGCAAGTTGAAACAACTGTAGTTATCCAGTAGGTTCAAGGACAATGATGAGCATTACAACTGAAGACATTTTGTCACATTTTAGCATTTTTGCACAGAACTGTTAGGATAGTGAATATGTTAAAAAAATCTTCACAGAAGCATTCAATTTGGAGACAAGGGCTTTTATTTAACACTGAAGCTGAATCTCTGGAACTTGAACTATTACTGCAGCTGGAGTGTAAATGGAAAGAAACTGCACTTCGTGGGATGGGAATACCTAGACCTAATTTGGTGACCGTAGTATAGTGGATCTAGGGTTCGCAGGAATGCAGTCCTGGTACGGATACTGTTTTATTAGCAGCAATGCTGATGTAATTTGACACACACACGCTACTTAGATGTTCCTGTTCTTCTTGGGCTTAGGAGTAGCTAGTGACAAAATATAGTTCCCTGTAGTAATGCAAAGTATTTTGGACTGGCTTGGTCTTGAAGGAGAAATTAGGGCCCAATTAGCGATATAAAACTGCTCTAACTGGTTTGTTGATCTGGATCAAGAGAGCTGCCTGAAGTCTTGGGCTTTCCTTTGGCTGTGGCTTTAGGACTGTTGTGGATAGTGCCCACACTTCAAAATTTGCCATCACACCAATTTGTTGGTGATGTTGTACTGATGGAGAGCAAAAGGATGATTGCACATGTGGGTCAAACATCTGGTGCAATGAAGGAAGGTTACTTCTAGTCTCAACTGGTTTGTTGAGTTTCTCCCTTTGGGATATATGCATCCTGAACCCCTCCGCACTGTGTGGGAGGAAACTATTCTGGGTCTCAAAACTAGCACCAAGGTAAGCCCTGGCTTAAGTGGAAGAAAGATTGAGATAATTTGATAGATCCTGCTAAACACCTTTACATTAGGAATGAGGGAGCTTGTTGTTTGAGCTTGCTGAAATCTTCCAAATTTCACCAAAAGATCAGTTCAATTTACTCCAGTTTTTGTCTATGTTTTGTTTTCCAGTACATTTACATACGGAAAGTGCACATTGCTGTGAACTTTTTTCAGATGTGTACACTTTTGCCATTGATTAAGCATGAAAATGCTATTCTTAAAAAGAAATGTGTGTTTCACAAAATGTTGTTTTTCACAAAATATACACTTTTCAAGCTAATTCAGAAATGTGCAATCATTTTTTAAATGTTCTTCTGTTCCCGTTGGCATTGTATATTGAACAATTTCAGTTGATTTGGAAACTGAAATGAAATCCTAATTGCATTTAATTGCAATATATACACTTCTAAATTTATTTGTCAAACTTATACAGCAATCAAATTATTTGTCAAGCAGAATATGCCCTTTTGTGTACTTTAAAAATGTATTTTTATTCATGCTACTTTTGGTATTTTACTTATTTCCACCGTAGACAATGAATGCTACAGTGAAAACTACAGAGAACAGGAATGATTTAAAAGCCTAACTTTCCAAACTCTGGGAATTTGACAGATGGAATAGAATAACACATTGATTTAAAGTGATGGATTTGTTTTTATGCCGAAGGCATGTAGATAAAAAACTAACTGGTATTTACTAATATTTTCAGTATCTTTAAAACTCAGATTGTATTTTTTACTGTAATGACAATAAAGAGTAGATTGATTATATTAAGAAGACTATATGGCAGGTTGAAGAATATTATGAAAAATATAACGGAGGATGGAAGGCAGAAGATAGTATTTCTGTTTTGTGTATGTCACTGCATTTAACCAAGGAATAGCTGCCATTTCTTTGGGATATTTATCTAAAATACTTATACAAAACTAAGTAATTTTAAAAAATTACAAAGGCATGTTTTCACTTGAAAATCAAGAGTGTTTTCCAGCTAGTGGGATTGTGGATCTCAGGAATTCAGAAAGAACACCATCCACAGAGAGTGTGCAAACTCCATTGAACATGAAACATT